TATTTATTTATTTATTTTTACAAATATACAAATTACATTTTCTTTTTCCATGTTTGTAAATATCAAAATTTTTACGAAAATTTTATTTTTTGAACGTCAATATTTTGGGAGGGTCGGTCAGGTTTCACGGTCTTTTTTATGCAAATTACACTTTCCTTTTTCATGTTTGTAAACATCCAAAATTTTTAAGAAAATTTTATTTTTTAAGCATTAATATTTTGAGTGGGTCCGTCGGGTTTCCCGGGTGATTTTTTTTTTTTTTTTTTTTTTTTACAAATATGTCAAAATTTTTAAGAATTTTTTTTTTAAACATCAATATTTTAAGTGGGTCGGTCGATTTCACTGGTCTTTTTTTTTTTATTTTATTTTTTATTACAAATATTCAAATTAAATTTTCCTTTTCCATGTTTGTAAACATAAAAAATTTTAAGAAAAATTTATTTTTTAAACATCAATATTTTTGGCGGGTTTCACGGGTCAATTTTTTATTTTTTATTTATTTATTTTTTTTACAAATATGCAAATTACATTTTCCTTTTCTATATTTGTATACATCAAAAATTTTAAGAAAATTATATTTTTAAAATAATTTTTTTTTTCTTAAAGAAATAACCCTTGTATATGTAAGATCCCAAACTCTAGCTTTCAAAAATAAAACCCAAATGGATGGATAAGATTTGCTTTTTTATTTTATTTTATTTTTATTTTTTATGGTAAGTTGAGTATATTAATAAAACAAATGTTCAAACCCATTTTGGGCCGGGAATACATGGTGGCCTATTTGCCCAAAAGACTTGCAATTTACAAAAATGGTCAGCTGGCCCAAACAACTGCATTTCAATGCTAACATTCGTGTGTCTTCTAGACCTCCGAAGGAAGTAGTACCAACAGTGGAGGCCATTGCAATATTAATATGGGGGACGAATGAATGATCCAGGAAGCGTCCATTCTACCATAATGCGTTTGGCATTAAAACAATATTTCACAGAGAAACAAGACAATTCTTGTCTAACAGCAATAAGAATGCGATTAAGGCATTCACAGAGAGTGATGGTCCCTTAAGGTATCTTCGATTTCGCTACATTCATATATGATAAACTAGAGCTGCTGACAATTTTTTCTGACAATGTTCTGTCCACCCAAATTTGGCCTGCCCAAGTGATGAATTCCCTTCATGATGAAGGTTGAGGGTAGAACGCGTAACGTGTTTGTAAAAATTTCCACAAGAGATTGGTGAATGAGCATCGAAAGGAGAGGTGGTCATGTGATGCAGGTTGTGATGAGCAAAGGCTACAGAGGTTTGGGGTGTGTCAATGAGCCATTGTGTTACGATCATAGGTTGGCAATTTGTGCAAAATGGCACATCATAGGATAAAGTTGTGTTTTAGAATTTCATGTGTGAACCAAACGAGGTGTGTCCTGGGGATAATTGCAGTTGGGGAGATTTGCTTTGCTAAAAAAAAAAAAAAACAAAAGGGGTTAAACAGTAAGAAGATGGATATTTTTCAACGTCAAAAAAATTTAATTTTAAATAGGTGTTTAAATCTTATTGGGCCACATCAGCAAAGAGGACAAAGTTTGTCCTCTTATGGGAGGACCCAAGTATTGTCCAATGTATAATATGGAAGAAAGTTGCATATAAGAAAGTTATACGAGTAATATATAAATATTTTTAATGAACAATACTTAAGTTTTCACTAATAAGAAGTTATATCATCCTTACCGATAATGTGGATCAATAATAAATGGACATATTCTATTTTAATTACTAAATCATATATAGATGATAATCAAATCATCATCTCTGATTTGGTAAGTGTGTATTTACTCCACCAATTTGATAATTAAGAATGACATGTTTATTTATTATTAGTTCACATGAGGATGGTATAGATCCTCACTAGTGTGAACATAAGTATTGTTCATTTTTAATTGTTTGGAACTTTGGATTATCTTTTGGGTGAATTATATTAAACTTTCCTTTTCTATTTATGTTTTTGCATTAAATCCCCATTTTCAATTTTTTTTTTTTTTTTTTTTTTGCCAAAAAACCTCTCAGGCAACTATTCAGGGGACTTATCAAACAAGACGGCACCTGAAAGGAAACTGAAATATAAATTGACTTAAATATTATATATTAGGCCTATTTGAAAATCTACTTTATGGGTGCCTCTTGATTTTTTTATATTAAACAACCTAAATAACATCATTCATATAAATTAACACTTTTATTATTATTATTATAAAAACATGGAAGGAATATATTTTTTTATAAAAGAAAACTATTTTGAAATATAAAATAATAAGAAGAAGAAGAATAAAAACATGTAGGCACAAATAATATAAAAAAAGTAAAAAAAAATTTAGGCTTTATTTCTCGTAATGTCCCTATAACAAATCTGTATAAAATGAAAATCAATAAAAACCAAACAAATGAATGCACAATATAATTTTAAAATATATATAATCAAAGAAAAATCCAAATTTATATAGTTCTGAAGGCTGGATGAAAATGCAAATATAGTATAAATAATATTTACATATTATATATACCATTATATTACGATACATATTATATATAATATTAGAATGATATAATATATATATATATATATATATATATATATATATATATCTCTATATATAAGAAGTTAAGTAAGAAGAAGAATACGTACTGCTGTAATGGGGGAGGATATGCAGCTAAGAGTGATATAATGAAGTAAATATATATGCTGGGGTATATTAAAAAAGGTATAAGGGCATTTTTGTTTCAAAAATATTTGAGAAAATTAATGTCCAAACAGATCCCTTTCAGCTAGTTTTCGTCAATTAAATAACCCCCCTATAGTTGAGAGGAGTTTTTTTAACAAAAAATAAATAAAAAAAGAGAATTTAATATAAAACACAGGTTAAAAAAAGGGTTTAATGTAGTTCACCCTTATCTCTTATATGCATGCTATTTCTTTTTTCTTTCTTTTTTACCTAGTTTTTTTATATGCTACTTCACACTTACAATTACCAAATCTTCCATGTCATCTTGCCCAAAATTCAACAGTACATAATATAGAATATAGAAGAATGTTGCAGGATTATAGGATAGAATAGTTATATACAGGAAAAATTGCAGGCAAGGAAGAATTTTCAATTTTTTTATAGGCTACTTCACACCCTTGAGTCCTTGACCAAATGACATGACTGTAAACTAAAGATGCATATTCAATAAATAATTTTTAGACATTGGCTATTTTATTTAGTCCCTTTCCTATTTTGTTCACATGAATTGTAACAATTTACAATTTAAAAAGTTCTGAAGTTTTTTTTTTTTTTTTTTTTTTTTTTTTTTTTTTTTTTTTTCATAAAAAAAAACAATCCACACAAGTTTTTAAAACTTAAAAAGGTTATAGGCAGCAATGGGTACAAGTTGAGAACTTGAACTTGCAATTAATCCTTCATCACCGGACTGTAACTTGTTGACCAGTAACGGTCATGTCATCTCATCTCTCTGGTTTATGCTTTGGATTTCAGGTTGTAAACTTATTTTGGGCTTATTGGGCTTTTATGTAATTGAATTGCAGTTACCAACAGGCTACCTACTTGAATCTTGATTTTCATGAGAGTTTCTAGAGAGTTAAAAAATTTCTGTAAGTCACACCTCGTGACAACTCTTGTTTAGATAATTTTCTATCCGTAAATATATAATGTTTTAAATTAATTTTGTAATATGAATTGCTTCTAGAATCTTCTTCACGGGATCTCTAGATTCTAAGCTGTTAGAAAGATAAGACTCTGGCCTTATTTTCTTTATTCTCTCTTTCTTTTCTTTTTATTTTATTATTGTTATTTTTTATTTTTTATTTTTTCCGAGAATTCGTGGAGTACGAGGAAAGACTCTTATATATTTCAATATATGTACGTAGTAGTACAGTCAAACGTATTTATCAATTAATCCCCTAGACTGGAGGGATCCAATTAAGCTATTGTATAAGGTGGAAAAAAAAGTAGAAATCAACCCGAGTTGTTGAATAACATGGAAAAAATTGAAACCACCCTTTCATAGGAAGTTGCAAGGAACAAGCAGAAAAACTAGCTTCTTCCCAGTTTTCTAAGAAACAGCCCAAATTTCAAGGAACAACAACCAAAAGAACATTCTCCAAGAGCATCAGGACGCAATTATTTTTAGAATGATATTGTGTCATTATAGAGAGAGAGAGAGAGAGAGAGGGGCGGTGTACAGAATGAAGTGGCGTGACTTTTTTTTGAGCCCTGGAAACATTATTTATACCATTCTCTACAGATGGAGCGGCTTTTGAGAATACTCCATAATTTTTTTTTCTTTGTTTAAAGAATATGACAGATGCTGGACCAAATCGAAAAAAGGTAGCTTCTCCATAATTTGATGCTGGACCAAAAAAAAAAAAAAGGCACCTTCTTCGTGATTTTTTTTCTTTGTTTAAAGAATCTGAAAAAAAAAAAAGAGGCAGCTTCAATGAATTATTTTTTTTTCTTTTTTTCTTTAATGTAATTTTTTTTTCTTTCTTTTTTTCTTTCTTTTTTTTTTAATGGATATTTTTAAATTTTTTTTTAAAATTTTTTTAATGGATATTTTTTAAAATTTCTTAACAAATCTAATCGAAACAAATAATTTTTATAATATTTTTTATTCATTAGCAATATGAAAATTACATTTTATTTGACTACAACAAATTTAAAGCATCTTCATCACCAAATTTCATCCACAAATGTTCCATGAGATCTCTCCTAATATCGACATTGTTTGATCTATTGCGAATCCTACTTAGGCGAGAGGAAATGTGTGTCGCTAACATTGATGGGTTTCGAACGTAATGTGGAAGGGAGATTGGGTCATCTGTCGGAGGTGTCCATTGTAAAATGTGTTCGCCCTCGTCTTCAATGATCATATTGTGCAATATAATGCACGTTCTCATTATCTTGTTTAGATCTTCTGTATTCCAATAAAGTACCGGTTGATGCGTTATAGCTCACCTCATCTGCAACACGCCGAACGCTCGTTCTACATCCTTCCTAACAGCTTCTTGTTTGTTAGCAAATAATTTCTCTTTGATAGTTGTTGGGTGCGGGATGGTCTGCATCAAAGTTGTCCACTTAGGATATATACCATCAGATAGGTAATACCCCATTGTACGCCGATGCCTATTCACCACGTAATTAACTGGAGGCATTGAACCATTGATCATGTTCTTGAATACTGGAGAATGATCGAGAACATTCAAATCATTGTGTGAACCAGCCATACCAAAGAAAGCATGCCAGATCCACAGATTTTTGGATGCAACGACCTCTAATATGAGGGTAGGTTTATGGCTTCTTCCCGTGTGCGTGCCATACCATGCTGTGGGGCAGTTCTTCCATTCCCAATGCATACAATCTATAGAGCCAAGTATACCTGATAAACCTCTCTCTTTCCTTTCTCGAAGCAGACGTGCAATGTCGTCTGCATTTGGTAAGCGTTGGTACTGCTCCGCATACACAGCAATTATAGCATCACAAAACCTCTTCAAGTTTTTGATCGCAATGCGCTCATAAATCTTTATATGTTCGTCACAAAAATCAGCTGAAATTTCATATGCGAGTATACGGATTGCAGCAGTCATCATCTGTATAGGAATGAACCCCATACGACTGAGGGCATCGGGTTTCTGGATGAACCATTCGTCATATGTTGTAACACCATTCAAAATGCAAAGAAACAACTCTCGTCGCATCCGAAACTTTTTACGAAATATGTTTGGTGGATAAATCGAATTTTTAGCAAAGTAATCTCGGAATAGCCATTGTGCTGCCTCCTCTCGATCACGTTTAATAAGTACAATAAACAATTTAAATCATCCATATCCATATAATTGACAGAACATAAATTATAACAGTTCATCAATTAACATCCACAACACGATATAATGATAAATAGAATTATAACTGAGCACATTATACTAAATTGCCAAAAATAATTCCATACTAGTCCATTTGATTTGCTAAATTAAAACCAGAAATCAAATCCTCTTTAATGCTTGACGGCATGCAGATTACCATTCAAATCTCACGACATCCATTCAATCCTTAACTATAAATCCTGTGCATGGTCTAATGACACTTAGAAGTCTAAACTACACATTATGAAACCCCAATAGTATTTCGATACTAATCTATTTAAATTAGTTAAAACACAACCAGCGACTAAAACTTTCTCAACTCCTGACAGCATGTATATTAATATCAAAATTTCATGATGTCCCTTTCCAGATCACACCCACATTCCTAGGCCTTAATTATGTGTTATATATCTTTGATATAACATCCCTAAAATATCTTTCATTTTAGTCCATTCAATTGGCTAAACAAACTAGAAATTTAAATTTTCCTCCTTCCTGGACAACATGCACATTAATCTTTAAAAATTCATGATGTCCATTAATATTAACACACTAGCATATACTAACTGTTTTAAGGTTTTAATAGGTTAATTTTAAACATTTAAAACCCCACATCACTTTCCAGAAATTACATTTAAGCCCTTGTAATAAAAAAAATCAGCAAAACGCACTTACTGTGCATTTACAAAAGATAGAGCAGGCTCCAATTTTAGGTTGAAGAGGCTTCAATTTTTGGGTTGAGAAGGCTCCAATTTTTTGGGTTGAGCAGGCTCCAATTTTGGGTTGAGGAGGCTCCAATTTTGGGTTGAGCAGGCTCCATTCTCCTTGGAGCCGCCTCTACATCATGTGGAGCCGCCTCCACTCTCTCAGCCTCCATTTTTCCTTCTCCGCTTCCTCTGTTTGTCTTCTTTGCTTCCGGCGAAGTTCAACCCTCTGTTCCAATTTTTTTATAAAGTTCCTAGGGTTCAACTCAAGTCCCAACAGTCTTATAAACTCCTCTGATTCCAATACAAATTGTTTGACAGAAGTTTAAATCATAATCAAAACAGTTTATGCAAGAAACCGATTTCAGTTATTTAAACGTAAAACAGATTACAGTCCGATATAACATGCATCAACCATCAGTTTTAAAAGTTGAATTAATCCCTAGAGATTATAAAGAATGCACAGAACACAAGTTTACCGGAAGGAAATAGTATGAAACTTGCCTTTAGGTTTCGGTTTGAAACCTAAACCACCGTTTCTGAGTTCCGGTAACCCCAAAACTGTTTCCCCTTCTCTGACCACTGTTCTCTTCCTGTGTTGCTTCTTGGTTCAACCCACGAGCAACTCCCTTTTACAAATCCCTTGCCCCTCTGTTTAACTATCAAGACATTCTCTGTTTTGCCTCCCAAAACCCTCTCTGTTTCTCTTTCTGTGTTTTCCCCCCAAACCCTCTCTGTGTTACAGGAAAAAAATTTCTAAAACTCTTGCAGACATATAGCTTATATATATATAAGCTCCTATAAAACCCTAATCCTAATTCCAGCCTAATTATATGTCGGCTAGTTCATAACCCAACGTGATTACAAAAACATAAAACCCTAACATCATTAATAATAAAGCATACTATAATACACGTCATTTAATACCAATAAATCAAATCATTAAATTAAATCACAATTAAACAATTAAAGTAAAACAAATAAATAAATATAATTAACCACTTAAGTTAAATAATTACACAAATACAATTTAACAATAAATTTCGTTAAACACAATTAAATCACAATTAAACAAGTAAGCACATAAGTCACTTAATTAAATAAAAATACAAATAAAAAAATATTAAATTTTCATTTTATCCTTTTGAAAATTAGGGGTATTACAATATGTGTGTGTATATATGTGTATATATAATTCCTATATACTAGTAATTACTATAATTATAGTAATTGTAATTATATTATAGTAATTATATATTATAGTATACAATTATAGTAATTATACGCACAATAAATTAAAATAAATTGACTAAAAGGAAAATAATAATTAAATAAATTGACTAAAGTTAAAATAATAATTTAATTTAGTATAACAAGATAAATTGACTGAAATTAATTGATATTAATGAAAGATAATTACAACATAATACAATAACTTAAAATCAAATGGATTACTAGTAACTTACAAACTGATAGATTACTGGTAGATGGTTGTATATAGCATACTGGAGATGTAATACAACAAAGATAGAAAAAATATGATTATTACAAATGAAGACTGATTATATGAAAACTGAAGCCTGAGTTGCCTCTGAATGAAGCCTGCTTATCCGATGGAATGGCTTCTCTCTTTATAGCTGGGTTCTGGCACTGTTGGAGGGCTGTTGGAGACATCTTTCTGGAATTTGCGGCCCAACTTTTGGCTTTGAAAGATGCTTCTGACTTTTCTGACTAAGGTTTACTGTAGATGTTACTGTTCCTGTCTTTTTACGCTGACAGCGACGGCATTGTAGATGAATAGTGTTTTGTCGGGTGACTGTAGAAATAGTAATCTGCCGACAATACTGTAGCAAATAGTAACTCTGACCAAATAGTGATTTTGACTTTTTCTGGCCTAGAATTCAAATGGATTCTGGGCATCTTGAAGATCATAATAAGGATCTTATGGATGACTTGACTCAGCAGCAGAGGAAGCATCATCTGTTTCTGCTTCATCTTGGGATAGTTCTTGGATGCGATCAGTCAGTGTGGCTGCCATCCTTTTGAGTTCCTCAATTTCTGACTTGGGAGTATGCTTCCGAGACTTGGTAGATGTAATAGTGTTTGTAGGAGAAGACTATTTTTGTTGAATGGCTTGTTTTGGTGGTGGAGTGACTTTTCTTATGGTTTACTTTGGGTAATCATCTTCAACATACCCAATAATTCTGTCAATTTTGAAAATGTCCCACCATTTAACATAGTGGCGACGGATGAGCATGTTGTCCTGGATATCATATTTCCATTTGAGTATCCATGGGACCTTATACTTGTAGCAAAATAACAAGAGGATTGGGAATTGTGAACTGTGTTTGTTAGCTTTATGAACTGTGTGGAAGTATTTGACTTGATCTGCAAGGGAAAGTGGCAAGATGTCTGGAATGATGCCATGATGAGACCACCAATGCAGAAACCAGGTAGAGAGTTGACTTTTGAAATGACTATCAAAATTGAGAAACCAGGAATGAGTATATGACTTATTTTGGTATAGGAATATGGAGGACTAGGCTGATACATAATCATAATATGTAAACTGAATATTATGACTAGACAGTGGTTGGGGTAAATAGGGATGACTGCCCCATTCTTCCATGGAGATAATCCGTCGGATATATAGGGAGTGGTAAATGACTTTGGAAGAATCATTGCGATCATAAGTTGTCTTAATGGCGATGGAATCTGTATGGTACAGAATATCTCTGTAAAACCCAAGAGTTTTATGAGGATGATTTGGGGCATAGTAAAGGTTACTTGGAAAATAAGAGTGAGCTAATTCTATAGGGTCCTTAATGTGACTAAGGTGTGGCTCAATGTGGAATAGAACAACATGTGCTTTTTCATAATATGGACTTGATGGCTTTCTAGTAGTTGATTTTTGGCCTTGGGACTAGGTTTGAACTTGTGTTTGGACTTGGAAGGGGTCTGGTGTTGGATTGACTAGAGCTGACTTAAAGGTCGATTGGGAGGCAAGTGGTTGGAACCGGTTGACCACTGCTAGGGCAAAAGAGGATTGTGACTGTGATCGGGTAACTGAAGCTTTGCCTAAGCAAATATCAAAGGGTTTAACTGGTTGAGGCCTTTGGGGAGGCTGCCGGTCTGCCATCAGATTTTTGTAAGAATTCTCTGGTGAGAAAATCTGGAATGGAATTGTTACTGCATTTAATATATTCTATGTCAAAATCAAATATACTTAATATGGCTTGCCACCGGGCAAAAATCTGTTTAGAAGCAATATTTTCAACATCTTTTTCTAAAACATATTTTGCACTTTGACAATTAACTCAAACTAAAAACTTTTTATTTAAAATATCATCTTGAAATTTACTAATACATAAAATAATAGATAAAATTTCTTTTATAATAGGACTGTAATTACTTTGTACTTTTGTCCAAACACTAGAATGGAACCGAACCAATTGTTCAGGTGTATTTGGACTGACCCGCTGTTTGAGGATGCCACCATAACCAATGTCTGAGGCATCAGTTTCAATGATTTTGAAAGAATCAGTAGTTGGAATGCCAAGACAAGGCAATGACTTAACATATTGCTTGATAGATTTAACTATACTAGTATGAACAGAATTCCATGGAGGAGGATTACTTTGATGACGATTAAAGAGTGGTTTACATTGCTTACGAAGATCTTTGTAGAAATTAGCAATGTAATTGAGAGATCCTAAGAACCTCTGAAGTTGAGTCTTATCAAGAATTTCATCAGGGAACTTATCGGCAAACTGGATTGATCGGCCAATAGGACGGATTTGGCCTTGATGAATGCGATAACCTAAAAAGCGGATTTTGGTTTGGAATAACTTGATTTTTGAAGCAGAGACTACAAGACCATTTTTTTGGATGACAGCAAGAAACGTTTTTAAATGTTTCCAGTGTTCATCAATTGACTTTGATAAGAGGAGAATGTCATCAATATAAACAATGGAAAAATGACTATAAGGATTAAAAATATCGTTCATGATATTTTGAAATTCACTAGGAGCATTTTTTAACCCAAAGGGCATGACTTTCCACTCATAATGACCAAAGGGAGTGGTGAAAACAGTTTTATATCTATCCTTTTTTCTCAAAAGAATTTGCTAA